TGTAAACAAAACATTCAAAAGAACGAGGGACACATTGACAAGTTTCTTTGTTTTTTTTCTCCTTTATTTTCTTTAAAAGCCATGGTGAAATCAAAAAGAAGAAGAAGAAAAAGAAAGGTATGTCTTTCAATCACTTGCTAAGATTTAGAGTGAATCTGTTCTGGAAGTTTTTATTTACACATACAAAAGGCCATGAAATTATTTCTTCTAAATGAGCAAAAACATCTAATTGTATCTTTTTTGTTCTCCTTAGAGAAAAAGAGTTTGATTAATGATGTAGGAAATTCAAATGCACACTGAGCGGCCAAAACATTAAAACCACTGTTAGGAAAAGAGAATAATTCAGATTTTTTTTTTTGTTTTCTCTGTTGAAGATATTTTGTCTAGTTATTGCTCATAAAGTACTCACACCATACCATCTTCCTTTTAGGAAAATTGCCCAAGAACTATGACCCCAAAGTGACCCCTGACCCTGAGAGGTGGCTTCCTATGAAGGAGCGCTCCTACTACAGAGGGAAGAAGAAGGGCAAGAAGAAGGATCAAATAGGAAAAGGCACACAGGGAGCGACGGCAGGAGCTTCAGCAGAGCTGTGAGTAAACTCCGCAGTCACACGCACAACCAGCCGAGGCGCCTGGGTGCAATTTCCTGTAATTGTAAACCCAGTTATTAACGGCACTAATGGAGGAAAAGCAACTGAGATTGTTCTTTTGTTTTCATGCCAATGAACTCTGAAATCAGATCAGAGCCGCAGCTGCTTTGCGGGAGGAAGGGCTCATCTGTTGTTGAGAAGAAAATTATTCTCAGTCTCTCCTAAAGGAGAAATCCATCTGCCACCATTCATCTGAACTACCGCAGCTCCAAAACAGAACAGGGGAGAGAACGACTCCATCTACAACAGATTTTTCTGCACATACCCTCACTTTTACTTTGAAATTTCAATTGCTATTAACCAGCTACTTACAGCCCTTGAGCTTGAGTTTCCCTATTAGCAACTGAGCAGGTTACTCTTTGATGCCCTCCAGTTTCTATTTTACAGAAGCTAAAATTATTTATTAATAATCCTAACAAAGTTTGTGCTGTTGTTGCACCACCCAAGGATGTCTGAAGATGCAGATGCAACTTATTGCTCTTATTTTGAAAGTTCAGTCGCCGTTAACCAGCTGGACTTGGACCCTAATGGCAGGCTGAGCAGGTCACTGTTGAAAGTCAGTTATTCAAACATGGATGATAAACTTATCAAACATCATGCTGCTACCTGAATTTATAAATACATGAAAAGTGGAGGTGGTGGGAGATACTGTCCAACAAAAGCTTTGTTGCTAATCAAACGTTTATTTCACTCATCCACGTCACAGAAGGAAACTCAGATCCTGAATAAACAAACTCAGCGCTATAATTTTCCGGCCCCTCTAACTGCACTGTGGCTCTTTTCTCTCTTCAGGGATGCCAGTAAGACTGCCAGCAGCCCCCCTACCTCACCGAGACCAGGGTCTGCGTCCGGCTCTTCTACAGCCCCCGCCAGCGGCGTAGTTCCCCCACGACAGCAGAAACCGTCGTCCTCAGGCGCCACTCGCAAGAAAGCACCACAAAAGAAGAAGAAAGGAGGCAAAGGAGGCTGGTAGACAGTGGGGAAGCAATGTGAGGAAGAAGGCTGTTGGCATCTGAGCAGCAGAGAATTTAGAAGCTTTTTTTTTTTTTAATTCAGTTTTTTTTGTTTTTTTTGTTTTTTTTTTCTGTTCAGGTCATTTGATCAAACCAAAATCCTCCCCGCTGCTCATCGACACCATGAATCTGACTTTTTTTACAAAGTAAAGGAGAAAAAAAAGAGCTGACGATTGAAAGGACAGTTCCACTGAAATTGACTTTTTGTTGCTCTGCAAAACCAGCGTTTGTTTTCACTGAATCAATAACACCACAGATATCCATATTCTCATTAAATGTCCATTGAATTGTCGTCTTGGCTGCATATTTCTACACCTTAACAGTTGCACTGTATTTAGCATTTTTCTTTATTTTTAAGCAAAAACAAATTCTGATCAATCAAAAATGAATTAAGTGTTTAAATCATGTATGCATTAAGGAGCTCAGTCATGTCTTTATTGCATTTTAAGCATTGTTAAGTACTCTTAAAACAGCGAGTATCCTTCATTAGAATTAGGGGAGTTATAAAACTGCTTTTGCAGAGTAACTCAAAGTTCAGAATTTAGGGTAATGGTGCTTAAACCTGTTGAGTTTCAGTATTAGCGTGTCCAGCTCCACCTGACAGTTTCACCTTTCTTTAATATTTCAATGTATTTTCAGTTAGCTACAGTAAAGTAACAGATATTTATTTTTGAATTTATTTGTCTGAATTCAAGCAAAAGGATTTTGATTCTGTCACATGCATGTGTTCAGAAAGACACTATTTTGGCCAAACAGGTTTTCATTTTGTTAAGTCTAAATAAAACTGAACAGCGATGCTCCTGCTGTGAGTTTTTTTCCTAGTATGGCTCATTTTGAGGCTTTGTGCATGAATGGAGATGTTTATAGAAGAGACTGGATGTATTTGTTGATGTTTACTGAAAATTCTCTGCTGGTCTTCTGTTTAAATTTTATCCATCACTCCAAAGTTCTTACTCTCACACATTAGAAAAAGAATTTCACCTTAGAAGCTTTTTTTCAGGGGCAAATTTTCCATGACAACATACCTCCTGGGGTCATTAGAGCATACACTGAACGTGTATGGAGAATAGTGGATGTGCTGGAAAAGAGGAAGACCACAGCTATGAATGTGAGATGGAGCCAAATGATCCAGATCATGATGAAGAAAAAGATCATAACTTTGACATTTAAGACTAAATGTAGCTGAAATTAAATTATGCAATGCTTTAAAATGTCCTGTTAATGTAATATTTGGGGTTTTTTTTAATGGTTAACGCAGGTCATTTTTTATAATTTAAGTAAAGGAAGTTCCACTGCACCTTAAATTTTCTCATACTTAATAATCTCTCTTGCTCTGTGAGATATGAAGCCATCATGTGGTCACAGAGAAAAATTACATGTGTAGCCATTTATTTAAAATCTCCAAAAATCCCTTTTTTGCTTGTTATTATAGGAGGAACTTCTATTATACTGAAAATCAGATTACCGTGGTGTGCTTGTAATATTTTAATCCAGCATTTTTGAAAAAAAACCAACAGAATAAACATGGATTTCACTTGCTGTAGTAGCACATAATCTAAAGGTCACTGGTGCATCATTTCTAAGTGATTAACAGCAACAAATGTCAATTTACCAACCAGCTGGTTCACTTCCTGATGCTCTTGCCTGGACTCTGCCTCGCCTCTCTAACGTTGGTCCAAATCCACTAAATCTGAGCAGTCCCTCTGATAAGCTTCTGTCTAATCTTGTCCGCCCTGGTTACTCCCAGTCTTATTTTCAGTTCTGCCATGTCCAGCTCACCCTCCTGTCTTTTTGCCAGTACAACTCCATGCTGGTCCTATTCCTGCCTACCTACCTGTATGGCATGAGGTTGCCATAGCACTGCTTTACTCTTACAAAATGTCATAAAAAAGGAAATGTTAAGTTTGTCAAAATAAGCTGTTATTAAGAAAAACCCAGCCTCTCATTGTGCAAAGTCATCCCCTGGGCTAAGTTAGGGCCCAGTATGTTTGATGCACCTGGTTTAAATGGTTTTTACTTGGTACATCCTGCCACTACTGGGCGCTCTTGCTTGGTAATTTGCCATCAACGCACTACACCTGCTTTGACCACAGCTCACTTGTGGAGCAGCCAGCCTGAGTGAATCTCTGTGGGTTTTGGATGAAACGATGCCTCGTTTGCCGTGTGTTTACTCAGACTTCTTCTATGGCCCTCTGACTGAAGATGTGGAGGAGCTACTGGGGCGCTTCCAGCAGATAGACTCGGTCAGGTATGAGGATTTTTCAGCCCTCTGGAGGGAGATGGGCTTCTCTGATCTCTTCATTGGCACCATCAATGCGGGTGAACTGAAGCGGTTCTGCAGGGTGACTCTGGCCACAGCTGTAAAGTACTTCCTACCTCCATACAGCTACCAGATCCGAGTGGGGGGCTTGTACCTGATGTTTGGTTTCTACCACACGCAGCTCGCCGAACCACCTGTGATGATCCGGCTCGCTCTGAAGGACTGGACCCACGTGCAAGCCTTTCTCAAGGAATCTGTAGAATCCGGCCATCTTGATGTAGTTTATATCTACAAGAAGCTTGTGGCATCCAAAGCCATCCACTACACGGCCATGCCGCATTTTCTGACCTTCCAGAAGCAGCAGAAGCCAAAGAAGGACCATGTGTGCCCTGAGTTTCTGAGCAGGACAACCGCGGTGCGTGAGCTCATCAGTGCAGACACCCTGGAAGAGATAGCCAACCTCCAGAGCCTGTACGAGAAGCTGAAGGAGACCACCAAGGATGTGGGTTCCCAGATCACAATGACCCACAGAGACTTCACCTCACGCCTGAGAGACTGCATGTCAGAGTTCATCACCTGGCAGAACAAAACGTTCACCTCACAGCTACTCAAAGACAAGAAGGAAAGAGATGAAGAGGAGGAGGAAGAAGAAGAAGAGGAGGAAGAAGATGAGAAGGAGTCCTGCAGCAAAAGAGCGAGGCTTCTGTCCTCCATCAAGCAGAAGAGCTACAGCAATGTTCAGAAGGCGTCCAAGTCCAGGAGGCACCGGCAGGGTGAGCCAGCGGACTTGTCCAGTTTGGGGACTGAGCAGGTCCAGCGGGTCCCACAGAAAAAAAGACCACCTTCTCTCCGGGCCCGGACCTGGAAGAACCTCGGGGTGAAACAACAGGACAGCAACCTGCCACCCTGGCTGCTGAGTGCTCCTGAGCTGGAGGACGGGGTGCCAGTGAGGAGGACCAACCAGGCGGATCCCTACAGGATGTGAAGGAGGAGGAGAGAAGATCATTAAAATAATTTAATCTACTATGTTTGTCACTGTTCAACTGGAATAAGTTAAGAAACTATAAATAAATGTTTTTGTTATAAAAATCATAATTTGAAAGGCTTCAATATATCTAAAATAATTTTTCTATACATTTTTGAATCTAACATTAGAAACCAGTTAACTGTGTTTTGTGTTAATTTCATGTTAAACTGTTGCAGGTCTGAATCCTTTTGTAATCCTTAATGAATCACTTACATGCTTTAAAGCCTCTGAAATCACCCAGAAGTGTATTTTAATACCACGGGTGGAAATAGAAAGAAAGAATAATATAATAGGTACCACCTTTGCAATGGGGAAAAAAAATAAATGAGGAGGAAACTTTTATCATAGTTAAAATTAGGCTATAAGAATTGTAAAATGAAATAATTTTTGTCTTATTTGATTTAGCCTGTCTTTGTGTTACTAAGCGAGATTTATTTACATTTTTAAGGACCACATTGTAACCTTTTTGAGTTTAATTTAATATAAAGTCTGAATTACCTCTGGAGTTTTCTCCTTTGATTTGTATAACAAAAACAATATAAAATAAATTCTGAGAATGCATCTAATGCCCTATCCATTTGCAAAAGAA